ATAAACAAAGCAAATACCTTGACTTGGCCCACGAGGTGACCGCCATGTGGGATGTTGACTCGACGATCATTGTCCCGATAGTTGTCTCGGCGAACGGGCTAATAACGAAGAGCTTCGACCAACATCTTAAGAAGCTCTCGCTAGATGGTTGGCTCAAGGGTCAGATTCAAAAGGCGGTGATCCTCAGCACGGCACGCATTGTCCGGAGGTTCCTCAGCCTGTGACCCTGACCACCGGTAGCTTGGGCCCTGCTCCGCTACCAGCGGATTAACTATTTTTAAGAATTTTTTTTATAATGTATTTTTAGTTTTTTTTTTATATAATTTACATTGTAAAAAAAATATTAAAAATAAGAAGGAAATTGAATAAAGAGATAATAATAATAATATTTTTTTATAACTACATTGTAAAAAGAAAAAATTAAAAATAAGAAATAAAAATGAATAAAGAAATAATAATAATAAATCTTTCGACAATTTCACACAGCGCCAGCTAGCCCCAAAGTAAGCAACTTAATGCTTGTGTTATGGGTGCTAGCTTAACGGATATACTACTTATATGTATACTTTTTTTTTAAATACATAAATATTATACATAGTTACACCCAGACCCGACAGAAACTTTCATAGTTTTGCTATTCTCTAAATAAATAAAATGTTGCGAAAGTAAACATAAGAGTTTTTAAAAGTTGAGCCCGCTTTCTTTGAACACATCTACACTAATATTATAAAGATAAAAAATCTTATTTAGTAATACCATTTATTCTACAGGCGGCCGATGTTGGTGGTTCCATAGCCATCCACACGTTCGGTGCTTACTTCGGTCTTGGAGTCAGTCTTGCCTTGAAGCCAAAGCCAAGCCCTGAGGCTCCAGCCACGAACGGCAACGCAGTCCCAACGGTCGACTTGAATGGGCCGACCTATATCTCTGACGTCACTGCTATGATTGGTAAGTGGGAGAGACAAAATGAAATGAAGTTGATGAGTTCGATATTTTTATTCAGATAATTTGGAATAATTTCCACAAAAAAATCTTCATTCCATTTATTCTCACGATTGATCGATATTAACGAACTTGTTGGTGCGTTGGACAATTCTGCGCGAGAATGATTCTGTAAATGGATCCGACAGTAAAAATACTGATCCTTGAAACTTACAATTTTAATAAATTCCAGACTGGTATTTTGCACTAGGGAAATAAGTGATATTTTATTCATTTACTTTACTTTTGATATTTCCAAAACTTTTTCTTCAGAAGCCTGGTAGTGGCACATTTATTTTATATAACTTTATCTCCACAAAAATCGTCTAATAGTACTCATATCATTTTAATCTATTCTGTGCTAACACTAGTACCTAAATAGTTCTTCAATAAGTACCGAATAGGTGTTATACTTTATGGCCCATACCTACATTAAATCGAGTAAAGTATCGATAAGTTATACTATCGTTTTCATCCCGAGTCGGGTTCAGACACAGGTTGTCCGTATTGGGACATAAATCTTTATTACTCAATCGGTTGCTAAGTGTTTCCCGATACACAACTGTTTGGGACAGTCTGGGTATTTTATTTAATCGCTACTGGATTTAAGATAATAGTGATGGGATTGGTGAAGTTTAATGGTGATAAATAACACGTTAATATAGCTAAAGGGTTTCTTATAAGGTTTTAATACCTTTACAGTCATGTCTCCCGCTTTGCAAAGAAGGGAAGTCGATTCCAACTCTTCATATCGTTCGTTTCAGTCAAATGACTTCACTGCTGGACAAATGCCTCCCAAAATATTTCCATAACCGCTGGTCCTGTGCCGAACCCATCATATAATATTTTTCTTAAATTATTTGCGGATTCCAAGACAGTTAGCTATCCCCTGGACTTCTCAACCTTCACTGGTCAGGTTTTTGTTAGAGGCCAGCTGTAGATTCTGGATATACAGGAGTTGCAGTGGTGGGAAAGTGTGGTTAGTAGTTAGGACAAGTTCCGTTTAATCGGCATAGAATTAGTAGGTACTTCATCGTTTGGTTCAAACCCCGCCCACTATTGAATAAAGTACCCGCGGTTTTTTTATGCATAACAAGGCAGGTATTTGACCGCAATCGCACCTGGTGTTAAGTCAGAAGATCACTCTCGCCTTTAAAAGGCCCAGATTATGGTATTCACGAAAGACAGCAGCAGGCAGCGAATACCAGTCCCTAGCTGTGTTGTTTACCACAATGATTGGTCCAGTTTTGGTTAAGAGCACCTTTTCGCGTGTCAGTGCCTATTTTTAGCATAATAATCCCTCCATTTGTCTAGTGGTTTCAAAGTTGTAGGCTCAATTTCAGTTATTTATTTCTGGCTTTATATAAATTGAAAACTTGATTAGCATATTTTTTACCAAGTGGATTGTAGGCTATAAATATAATTTCGGGCTTCAGGCACGTGGAATTTATTTAATAAATTAATCCTTATTAAATTATATTGTGTCTCTCTTACACACTATACGATAGAAAGAGAAAAGAAGAAAAGAAGTTCAAGGATACAATTCAATAAATGAGCTTTTCACCTTTCTTAATTATTTCGTGTATAAGAGGCACAAAGTTGTAAGGATCTATAAGAGCCATTTCAAGGACGAGGCAAACTTATCAACCTGGGAACGAATCGTTACTGTATAAACTCGAGGCGGGCAGTAAGTATTCTTTCTATGAAACTCCTGTAACGCACACTTATCCGCATCGTAAAGGCCTCGCCTCGAGGTTGACAGCGCGCGAAAGGCAATTAATACGATGTTGATCCCTTTCCGGGTTGATAAGTGTGCTGTGACCTTAAATGTCATTTTTTATTAGATGAAGTGATCTTATGGAAATCTTCGGAGAGACTTTTGTCCAGCTGTGGACCTCATTTGTCTGAAACGAACGAACGAAGTGGTCTTAGACACAAAATATAACAGAAGGTAAACTCATGTATGTACCTCGCTTTGCATACCTCTCTCGCTCGCACGCTCGGCCGTCGCGCTAGGGTTGTCTTTTCATGTGTTGCGTTTATTTCGATAAGATAGAAAAATGTTACTCTTAATACTATGCAAGAAAGACAATAACAAATATTCACGTATACTTATTTATATTTAGTACGTTATTATAGTAATAGTTTGCAAACAAATACACGAGAAGGAAGTAGTATTTAGTTGAGTGACACTATTATCCAACTAATATTATAAATGCGAAAGTTTGGATGTCTGGATGTTTGTTGCTCTTTCACGCAAAAACTACTGAACGGATTTTGATGTAACTTTACAGTATTATTGTTTATAACCCTGAATAACATATAGGCTATAATTTATGACGATCTGTGACAAACTAAATTTCACGCGGGTGAAGCCGCGGGCAAAAGCTAGTTATCCAATAATTCCTAAAACCTCTCTAAAACAATTTGATATTCCTAATAATTGAGTTGGCTTTCAATTTCAATTGAAATTCAAATAAATAACTTACTTACCTCCCCGAATCAACTGGTAATTTAAAAAATGAAAATTCGGTATTTAATTATGAGTTTAAGCAACCAAATACCGAACAATTATAATACGACTTTTTCTGTTTACTCATTTTCGTCAATTTCGCAAAACAAAATAATATCACAGGCGGTTGACCGGCGCGTGACTCAAGCGAACCACAGCGAACGTGTGGCGAACGTCTGTCGCGCTCGCATTCGTCCAAGACAGTCTTGCTAGAGCGGTGTCTATGTGTGCGTGGCTCGAGCGCGTTTAGTATGGAGTTTGTCTTCTGTTATATTTTGTGTCTTAGACTTGTTTACGGGACTATTCCCACCTCTCATTCCCACCACTGCAACTCCTGTGTAGCCAGGATCTACAGCTTCACCGCCATAAAAACGTAACCAATGAAGGTCAAGTTTGTCTCGGGGGAAGTTAAACTGTCATTGGACCCGCAACGAAATTAATCAGAAGAACATAGGAGGACTAAGGCTGAGTTGCATCACCTAACTTTAACGGTAACTGTGACGACAACCGGTGCTTTTTGTATGGAGTTTGACAGATTTTTGACGTTTGTCAAAGTTAAAGTACGATGGTGCAACCCAGCCTTGGACTTGTTTAGTGTGTCTTAACTTTTTAACAGATATTTTTTTGTGTGTTTGTCTTCTAGGTAGAGTTCAATTACACTATCCAGCCACCACGGGGCAATAACTGCTGAAATTATGTTACAGGCTCTATTTTCCTGTGGATCTACTGGCCGTCTTTCAACTCGGGCTTGACCAACACCGATGCTGAGTACCAACGAGCTGTTATCAACACTTACTTGTCCCTGGCTGCCGCTACGGTAGGTTGTCCATGTAACAAATTAATTAAATTACCCATTTTATTTAGGCAATTCTACGAGCTATGTCGGTCACTTTGGTTCTCATTGGATCTCCTCATTTCTGATTCGATCACACAGGGAAACTCCGAGCATAGCCCGCTCCATCGCCCTTTGGGTGACCAGAATTAGCTCGCAGAATTGCTAAAATCAAGTGGCAGTGGGCGGGGCACATAGCACGGGCTGGAAGACGTAGCGTGGGCAGGCCTCCCACTAGATGGACCAACGATCTGGTGTAGGTCGCGGGAAGTACCTGGATGCGGGCAGCGTAGTCGGTATGGAAATCCTTTAGGAGGCCTTTGTCCAGCAGTGGACGTCATTTGGCTGAAGCGAATGATGATAGAGAGGATTGAATTAAAAGAAAAAGAAATTCCCTGTGGTATTAATGACTATTATAAAATTACTTTTATCTCAGTGTTAAATTCTCCGAAACTGTAAAAGATGAAACCCAAAGCTTTCCAAAGCCTTATCTTGGTAGGGCTCACTTAAACTTCCCCCGGCTTAGAAAAGTTACAGCATTAAGTATGTATTATGCTGAGATTGTTAACGCTCGATTTTCACGCACGACCGGTTACGCTGCATCATCCGGTATGCATGGAACCAAGCACCGGAACATTCTTTCAGGAACATATTTTGCCCTTTCGATATACTGCGTACATTTATGACGTGACTGGAAAGTTTTCGTGTTTGTTTGAACGCGCTAATCTCAGCAACTACTGGTCCGATTTGAAAAAATATTTTTGTGTTGGATAGCCTATTAATTGAGGAAGACTTCAGGCTATATCGTCAGCATCACCCTACAGCTAACAAGGGGCAGAGCAGTAAAGTATATACAGGGTGTTTCTTGTAAGGTGTCAAGCCGAAGGCAGGTGATAGGTGAGGACTAGACCTATCGATTTCACCCCCATGTATGTTTTACGATTTTTCATAGTTTAGAAGTTATCGTTAATTTTGTGATTTTTTCAAATTGTAACACAAAAAAACATGTACTTCATAGGCCATTATTTTCTGTAATCGCTCCACTAAAGTGGTAAGTCGGAGATTCCGTTACATGTTTTTGACTTTCTTAGGACTAACTAATGATTGCAATTCTCTAAGTTTACGTTACGTAGAACACATTTAAAGACAATAACTGAACAGAACATTTTTTTATCCACTACGAGGAATCTCTTGCCCTTCATCTGACCTGATGAAAACTGATGGATGATCAGCGAGCTTCACTCGGAATCCTAATCCACAGAGGAATTGGCTGTCCTAAATAGATGGCCTTACCACTAGACCACAGTGGTGGTTATTACTTTACGATTAAATTCGATATACCTACATATTAGAGTGTGAGAGAAAGAGAAAGAGTTTGTGTGTGTGTGTGTGTGTGTGTGTGTGTGTGTGTAGTTGAAAATTTTAGAATGTTCCGCTAAAAGCATATTTTTTATGTTTCTAGCAAAAATTTTGTATCTTGCATCAAAAATAGGAAGTTGATTTTTTTTTCAAAAATCTGCAATTAATAGGGAATCTGTCAAAAAAAAGAAATTTGAGAAAAATTGACCCAAAAAAAAGATAAAAAAATTTAAAGCCTACTAGGTCATACAATTTGAAAAAATCACAAAATTAACGATAACTTCTAAACTATGAAAAATCGTAAAACATACATGGGGGTGAAATCGATAGGTCTAGTCCTCACCTATCACCTGCCTTCGGCTTGACACCTTACAAGAAACACCCTGTATAATATGTATAAGCAGTATAGTCGCTTCCCTGCTTCCTTTTTGATGTCGTTGGTCCACCTTGTGGGTGGACGTCTCACGCTGCGTTTTCCGGTACGCGGCCTCCATTCCAGAACCTTGCTGCCCCTTCGGCCGTCAGTTCTGCGTACTATGTGCCTTGCCCATTGCCACTTGAGCTTGCTAAACCGTCGGGCTATGTCAGCGACTTTAGTTCGTTTACGGATCTCCTCATTTCTAACACACCGAGCATAGCCCTCTCCATAGCACACTGTGAAACTTTGAGCTTCTGTATAAGGCCAAATTGAGAGGCAACGTTTCCGAGCCACAAGTCATCGTCATCGTCGAAATTAGATATTATCGTATGATAATTTAAAAAGAAAAGAGGAAAAAACATAAAACTTTGCAACAAAACGCGCTTGTTACGTAAAATAATTTTTACTACCAGAACACATCGTTGTCGAAATTAATATAGTTGAGTTCTGAAGAGATATAAACTTAGTCTGCACTGCGGTTGTTATGTTCCAGCATGTTTACTTAGCGAGTTATTCTGGCATACGCGAACAATTTCTTCGTAGTAAACATAATTAATTTGCGGTTACAGTACGCACGCTACAACATTTTGTTACACGTTCTGCATATACTTGTTTAGAATTAACGAGAACTTCCTTAATTTTATAAACAGTTTGATTAGCGTGTGGGTCGATAATGTATACCAAAATTTTCGAACCCTTCTGCGATATTCAAGCCATCTTTGCCTTATAAATATAGTGACCCATAAAAAGGCGTTCTCGGAACACAAAATTATAATCTCATAGAAACTGGATAGCTTTTTCAAACGAGTGATTCCGATAATTTCCCCTTCAAGAAATTACCAAGCTAGAGACAATTTTGTCACTGATAGATATCAAGATATTCCACGTATTTGTTTATTACTATCTAATAACAACTACTCGCAAAGCGATCCGGATATTAAATAAGCGAGATTTCAAAATGGATAAACATGGAAAACGTTTTTAGTAATTTTTAAGATTATACAATTTTTGCAGTTGGTTTGTGATATTTAATGTTTATAATTAATTTCTGCAACGAACTAATAAAATCTCATTATTCTATGCACATTTTGGTACTAATAGGTTTGTTTACAATGCTCTCAAGTCACTATCCATTTGGCAGTAAGATTAAATAGTTTTCAAACCGTATACTCGATCTCCCAAACGATTAATAGGTACGTGGGTGTGATACTTCACACAGAAACGAGGCTGTTTGCCAGTGTGGGCGATTACAGTCTAAATTAATCAGAAGCTTGTAAATTAATTTAATCAAATACAGCCTACAGCGAGCTGGGGGCATCGTAAAAGAGAACAGCAATACAACAGCGTACTGGAATCCCGATACTGTTAACTTATAGTATAGTATAGTAGGGAGTAGCATTCGTAGTAACATAATATTAAGGCTGGGTTGCACCATCTTACTTTAACTTTGACAAACGTCAAAAATCTGTCAAAATCCATTCAAAAAGCACCGGTTATCGTCGAAAGTTGCGGTCTAAGTTGGGTGGTGCAACCCAGCCTAATTCAACTGTAGTAAATCATCCGTAATAGTACTGTCGTAATTTCGTAGCGTGTTACGGTTCGTAGTAACATCATTCCGTACCGTTTGTAGCCACATCCGTAGTACCATTCAGTGTTGGCACTAATCAATTAATTTTTTAATCAATTAATTAATTTGATTAATTTTAATCATGATTAAATTAATCCTGATTAAAATAATCATGATTAAAAAAGTAATCATAATCATGATTAATTTGTTAATCATTAATCAATAATCATTAATTTGATTAACTTGATTAACTTCTTAAATGTTCTATCGAAAACAATGTTAAAACATTGAATTCTAATATTAGATGTTTGGTTTAAGGGCTACAATTCTATGACAGGTCATACCTAGATAAATATAAGGTAACCTAGACTGCCCCCCGCCCCCTTCCCTCGCTGAAACTTCCGGTGCAGTCTTCCGACCTCCCGTAGGAGGATATCAGTCCACTTCCCCTACCGTTCCAGCACTTACTTGCAACCCCACACTCCCACCACCTGCCCCCCACCCCTAGCCTCCCTTGAAACTTCTGGTACGAAGTCTCCTGCACCTCCCCAACACGCAAAACTTCCTAGCTTAGCAACCCCACCCTTCTATTGAAGTGCCCACGCGTGGGCCTCCCCCGAAACTTCTGTTACGAACTCTCCTGCACCTCCCTAACACGCAAAACCTCCTAGTTTAGCAACCCCACCCTTCTATTGAATTGCCCACGCGTGGCCCTCCCCCCGAAACTTCTGGTACGAACTCTCCTGCACCTCCCCAACACGCAAAACCTCCTAGCTTAGCAACCCCACCCTTCTATTAAATTGCCCACGCGTGGGCCTCCCCCCGAAACTTCTGGTACGAACTCTCCTGCACCTCCCCAACACACAAAACGTCCTAGTTTAGCAACCCCACCTTTCCGTTGAATTGCCCACGCTTGCACCTACCTTGGGAGGGGGGGGACTTCTCCCCTATCGTCAGCCAGCCCGCTTAACTTCTATCCTGACCCAATTTTGCTGGAGGATACCGGAAGAATAGAAGGAATTGTGAAAAACAAAACTAGTGCGATAAGTGTTTTGAGTAGTGAAAATTGACGCAGTTTTTTGGGAAAACTCCAGATCCCCCCTTTGCTAGATAAGTATTTTATAAGTCGTGGGTACCTTTTCATACACTCCCAACCCTTTTCTTATGAAAATAGTAGATAGTTAATCAAATAATCAAATTAACGATTAATGATTATGATTAATTAATCTTAATCAAAATTTTTGATTAATGATTAACTAATCATAATCAAAAAATTTTGATTATGATTTTAATCATTAATTTTTAATCATTAATCAGATTAACTTTTTGCCAACACTGGTACCATTTGTAGTATCATCCGTAGTAGTATTGCCATTCGTAGTACCTCTCGTAGTACCTTTCGTAGCAACTACGCGTATTCCCACCGCGTAGTTGACGCAACCATAATATATTATATTTGCTTGAGACTTGCAAGCTTGAGTTATTTATCAACCAAACTGAGAACAAATTGCTTATCCGATAGAGGAAGCAAACCCGGGATCTCCCAGTTGAAAATAATGGTACCTACTATCTAACCACTAGAATACATAGCCGTTATTTTTTAAGAATTCATGTACTCTATCAAAATATTTGCTGCTACACCTTCAAAGAAACTTCTTCTAATGCGTCTTAAATAGATTCGAAATGATTGCTATGAAGACTTTTTAGTATCTCTTTTTATTATGATAAAAGTAAGCACTTGTTTGAATTCCTTTGAGAGATCCTGACTTATTGTCTCCGGTCATTAACTTCAAAATTTTAACGGTGTTAACGAACTAAGAAACACAATTTGTGACACATTTAAATTAAATACCTTAGTTTATGACAAGTTCGTTACCTTTTCAGGTGATTACGTATTCACAAACTAACTTCAAGGCCTGTAAAATAGATTAAAAAGTATTTAAGACGAATATCGCTGTCTTGACTCCTGAAAAGAAAATGAGCAGTCTTAATACGTTATTAGCCGTTAAGATAAATATGTAAAGTGTTATTATTATATTCTTAAAACAATCATGTTCTAGAAATCATTATTTATCTGAAATCTACTTTGAGCCTGTTTCACCACTTGATAATTACCAAGCCCTGATTTTATTTATTTATCTGTATTAAAGAAACATACAGCCTTGTTTGATACATGCAGCTTAAAATTAAGTTGTAGCTATTACAGGATCTTATGTGAAACTGATCTTTATTTGACGTTCTAGTCAAAAAAATCGAATACCTGCGTGAATAGTAGGCATTGTTTTGAAGGAAAAAAAAAAGTTTTTTGAGGTCATAAAATAAAAGTCTGATCGGTGTCGGCATCGAACTGCCTATTCGAGATTCGAGAAGCTATTCTAAATCACTGTACGGCGAGCTAGTCGCATTCGCAACGCACTACAGAGATGCCCACGCGCTACTAACGCGCCATAGCGCGCGACTACATCGCTACAAAAAGTCGCCGAGGGCGAAACCTTACTCAAAAGAAACCTTCAACATGTAAACACCCGTTTGTTAGTCGTATACCTCGAAATCAAAAAATCCTTGTAGCTTTTCACCTATTCGCATTTCACCGTGTTAGCGTTTTTTGTTGTAGTGTGTAATATCGGTAGTATATTTTGTTACTAGCATATATTTTTAACAGATTTTTACAAAAGTAACACATTTTGATGTAGCATGTATTATCAATAGCCTATTTACAGTGAAGACAGGCAGGGAAGTAAATCTACTATGAATGTTTTAGACAATTGTAATTAGCGATCAAAAATTATACTACAAGAATAAAAATCTATTCAGAAATTTTGATATCGCGGCGAAATGTGAATAGGTGAAAAGCTACAAGGATTTTTTGATTTCGAGGTATACGACTAACAAACGTGAACACCTGATATGAACTTTATCTTTCTTCTGTTCCCCACAGGTGACCACCTTCATAATCTCTTCAGCAGTGAGCAAGCACCAGGGTCGGTTCGACATGGTGCACATTCAGAACTCCACGTTAGCCGGTGGAGTGGCGGTCGGGTCGGTGTGCAATATGCACATCGGGCCGGGAGGTGCCATCGCTGTTGGTATTGGAGCTGGTCTTCTGAGTGTGGTGGGGTACCGGTTCTTGACGGTAAGTTTAAATAAACCAGTTTTTTTCAATAATTTTATCACTTTTTTTCTTTCTTTCACTTCTGAAAACATTTTGAATAAAGAAAAAAAAAGATTATTTGGTGTATGACCGTAGTACCTACATAATTACAATAATGTGTTTTCATATTTTAAAGCAACGATATTGTGTACTTTTTCTTAAATTAATAAAATAGGTTAATTTTGTTCTTTTCACACAAAAACTTTTCGCTTGAATTAAGTTAAAATTGTTATTGTCCAATCAGATTGGAATGGAAAACAAAAGAGAATCATATCAATCAAAAGATATCAGACAGTCGAATGTCGTAAAACAAAACAACATCAGCGTGGAATCGCAGAAATATAAATATTGCTGGCTCATTTTCTATCGATCGTCAATTGTTTTTAGCTTTTTAAGAACTCGCTAAACAAGTTTAATATTTTTAAAGAATACGAACGACTGCTGTCATTTATTAAAGGCATAGTAGATCTGGTCATGCATAAAGTTAAGCATACACATGAGAGTGTCCGAATATTTTGAATTAACTTCAATCCAAATTCCATTTTTATTTCAGCCAAAACTGACCAAGCTTGGTATCATGGACACCTGTGGAGTCAACAACCTCCACGGTATGCCAGGGCTGTACTCAGGGTTGCTGTCGGTTCTCTTCGCTGCGCTAGCTAGCAAAGACGCTTATGGGGCTCCTGAGCTGGTCTCTGTATTTGGAGCCATGGATGAGGTATATGACCAACTTTTTTACTTACGATTCTTTCTCATCAAGCTACTAGAATGTTTTTTGATAGGTAATTTTGATGTGTTACGAAAGCATTAGTTATTAAATAATGTTCTTGAAATTTTACAGGGTGGCAGGACGGCTTCAAACCAAGCTTTGTACCAATTCATCGCCCTAGCTGTAACGTTCGTGCTGTCTCTAGTTTTTGGTTTTTTGACAGGTTTGTAAACTATTTTAATTTAGTTAATTTTAACAAAAATATACACCAAATTACTGTGTCTACGAGATCAAATCGGGATTAAATCTAGATACAAGAATTAATAAAAGATCATTGTCAATACTGACCCTACTTTGGCTCACGGCAAGGTGAATGATTAACCAGACCACTCTTGCCCTTTGTAATGTATGTGCATAGAGCTAACAATATTTATGTCGTCGGCCGTTTGGTGTAGTGGTTCAGAACGGACTACTATGCCGAGAGGTCCCGGGTTCGATTCCCGGCCGGGCAGAAATTGAAATGATGAATTTTAATTTCTGTGACGGGTCTGGGTGTGACTATGTATAATGTTTATGTATTAAAAAAAAAAGTATATCTATACTAATTAGAGATGAACGGATAGTTGTTTGGCCGGATACCGGATACCGGATATCCGGCCAGCTGCTAGGCCGGATAGCCGGATATCCGGCGGCCGGATAGTTGGCCCATTGTCTCGTTGCATGTCGTGACGATTATAGTGCCGCACAGGTGCTTCGAACGCGATNAAAGTGCCTACCCAAAGTCATTATTCCACGCGGACGAAGTCGCGGGCACAGCTAGTAAGTAGTATATCCGTTAAGCTAGCACCCATAACACAAGCATTAAGTTGCTTACTTTGGGGCTAGCTGGCGCTGTGTGAAATTGTCCAAAGATTTATTTATTATTATTATTATGTTAATTTAGATAGTACTTCATAATATTGGCTTACAACTTTAACATAGGGTTTCTATGTAGGGACCGCGATTAGCATGACGAGAGACTAAAGAACGGATCATTTCAATGGCCAGTACATACCTGTTAAGCTGTCATATCGATTCCTAATCCAATAGCACAGAAATCCTCAACAAATAATAGATTATTGCTATTAAGAGGTGGAGGTCCGCAATGCCGCATTCCCGGCGCAGGCATGTATATTGCTGACCGATGCGTTTGGACGTCTTGCCGACGGTGTGCCCGTGGCTCTAGGATTCTTCGGTGGTTTACAATGGACGACTTTTAGATAAATAATTTGTTCAGACGATATTATATGGTATCGTCTGAACAACTAAATACTGTATCTCAGCTGTATTCCGCCGCATTCTTTTTCACCTAAATAATTTTCCTCATTTTACTAGGTCACTGATTGACTGACTCAGTCATCACGAAATATCAGAAACAATAAGTGCTAGAAGTCTCAAATTTTGCATAGGGGTTACTTTTAAAACGTAGGTGTTCACTAAGTCGGGATTTTGCAAAATTTAACCCATAAGGGTGTAAAACGGTATCCACGCGTACGAAGTCGCGGGCGGCCGCTAGTCTCTATACAATCAGCGTCGTCAGATGTAAAGGATCTTTATGGTCGGTAATGGAGATTATAGGAATAGTTCTGTATGAGCCGTCCATAGGGCAGTGAACTTTAAATGAAATATCGTACAAGCAGACCTAGCTATATGTATAAACTACAAACAAAGCATGCGAACAGTTTTGTGTGCATTATTTTTCACGTATATAATTTTTCTCAGATGGGAATTGAATTTACGATCTTTTTATTGCCATTTGACTGTTCTAACTCTTAAACATTGGAGAGATTAGAAACCTGTATTTTCAAGTGAATTCCACCCTGTTTTTGTCTGAAATTATCTTGGAAAGAGCCCCTTCATAATATATTTTCAAGCCTAAATAAACAATAATGAATCCCCACGAATTTATGAAGAAAGCGAATAAAAATTTCATTCAGTTCAAAAAACAATAACCTTCCAACCAAGTAGCAATGAAAAATGCTTTGTCCAAAAAGTGATATTAATGTCAAATTATTACACAATGCAACGTTTTAACTAAACCAACAAACCAGCGGATTAACTAATTGGGCGCGTACATCAACGTTTACATTACCTTAGCGTAGAATTATTCAGAATATTACCGCTCGAGCTTTGATTAAATACTCGTAATAGCTGGGTAAATAAATCCTTGACAACGAAAGATCCTTTGGCAGAGTATTTCAAACATTTAGGCCTGGTACACGCGAGCGCTTTGTGGCCGAAAGAGAGCGTTTTGTGGCCGAAAGAGAGTTTTTTGTGGCCGAAAGAGTTTTTTGTGGCCGAAAAAGAGCGCTTTGTGGCCGAAAGAGAAGGCTGCCGAAAAACGTGGCTGCTAAAGTGTTAATATCAGGAAAATGTGATTAGCCTGCGCCGGTAAAATCATTGGAATGCCTTTGCGATATAGTCTACGGGATTCTGGACCGCTTATCTCGCTCGCTCACGCTGTGATGGTGTCATGTGAGAGAGTGATAGATAGAATCTAAATTGCGTCATCATGTTGCAGAATATAACCGCTATGATGCGAGACGATTAATATAATGTATTTATTGTCTCTATTCATCATCATCATCATTTCAGCCATAGGACGTCCACTGCTGAACATAGGCCTCCCCTAATGCTTTCCACGTTGATCGATTGGTAGCAGCCTGCATCCAGCGCTTCCCTGCTACCTTTACGATGTCGTCAGTCCACCTTGAAGGTGGACGTCTCACGCAGCGTTTTCCGGTACGCGGCCTCCATTCCAGAACCTTGCTGCCCCATCGGCCGTCAGTTCTGCGTACTATATGCCCTGCCCATTGCCACTTCAGCTTGCTAATCCGTCGGGCTATGTCAGCAACTTTAGTTCGTTTACGGATTTCCTCATTTCTGATTCGATCTCGCAAAGAAACACCAAGCATAGCCCTCTCCATAGCACGCTGTGCGACTTTGAGCTTCTGTATAAGGCCTATAGTGAGAGGCCACGTTTCCGAGCCATAAGTTATCTTCTATTCATCTCATCTTATTCATTCACACAGCAATGCTGTTGTCTGAAAGAGTCGGGTGCTGAATCGTAGTTATTTTTATCTAGAATGGAGTCCCCCCCTTGTGGCATTAGATTTTTGCAAATGATACCACTCGAACCCCTTATTTATAGCTCTAGGGAGTCTAAATGTAAGTTAATGAGTACTTAGCCATGGACTCGCTACCCCAGGTCTTATAAGGGGAAATTAGAATGGAAAGAAAAAACCGTTAAGTGACCCCTATGCGTCCAACCTACTCGCGTGCAAAGAGTTCTTTAATAGAAAAAGAAATCAAAAAATTTGGTAAACATTCGGTAGATACCCAACCAGTTTCAGTTGACATTTAAAACAACCTCTTTTCGAATTTCTTTCTAGTTGCTAACTGATCACTTAATTAACTTCCTTAATTAATGTTAGTTGTTTACACAGCACGAACCGTTTTGGGTCATCAATCTTCATCTTGTATCGAATTTAGAGTTTGTACTTGATGAGTAGTTTTTGAGGAAAAAGCTTGTTACCAAGCTAACAGACAGAGAGATTTCGCTCTTTTAAGGCGTGTAAAGGTGGCGGTTCGCATCGCGACAGAGACAGGAGACCGAGACGCGAGATCGAGACGGGAGACCGCGAACGTTACTTGACTTTAGACAATGTATAAGCGACAGTACGCAAGCGAGACAGAGACACAGGTCTCTGCCTTAGTCAAATAACGGCCGCGGTCTCGTGTCTCGGTCTCATGTCTCGGTCTCGTGTGTCGGTCCCGTGTCTCGGTCTCGTGTCTCGGTCTCGTGTCTCAGTCTCGTGTCTCGGTCTCCTGTCTCTGTCGACATCGTGCGGTCTACACGGTTTATGACTGCAGTCTGTGGAGGAACACTATAATGTGGTCGCGATCCTCATCAGTGAGGGACCCAAGAAGAAGGAAAGTGTTTTGTTCAATTAATTTACGTAACTGTAATTGTAATTCATGGAAGAGAAAAACAAGATAGTTTTAGCGTATCAAATGTCTAGTACATAATATGCCTGATATAAAATAAATGATATGAAATCATACCATCTCTTGAAACTAGTTTAAAGTTAGAATCGAGTTTCAAATGTGAAAGGCCTGAGTGAGAAATCATGAGTCTAATGCCCAGAATATTGTAATAGGAATAGTTTATCAAACTACGACCTCAGACTGACCTAGACTTATATCAGAAACCACGTTATTATAATGTTAAGTGACACATAAAGTAGACTATGATCTGGACCTCCTCAAGATGAGGGTAAATAGGTATTTACTGGGTAGGTATGTAACATTTTAAACTGCTTCTCCCTTAAGCAGGTCAAAATGTACGCAGCCGCACTTATCAGATTGCAAACATTTTGTTTCTTCCCGCGCGCGGTCATATCGCATCAATCCTTACTAATATTATGAATGCGAAAGTATCTCTCTGTCTGTCAGTGTCACTTTGACGCCTAAACCACTGGACCGTGGCATAGAGATAGTTTGAGTCCCGAGAAAGGACATAGGATAGTTTTTATCCCGGTTTTTTATACAGGGAGGCGCGCGATATAGTTTTTCTGTGACAGACAAAATTTCTAGCGGGTAAAGCCGCGGGCGGAAAGCTAGTACAAAATGTACAAGTATAGAGACCGATAAATGTTGTTCCGCAGACCGTAGAACGCATTCAGTGTGGCAAAACCTTTAACATTTGGTTTGATTACGGTCAAATACCTGTCTTGTTCTGCATAAAAAAGTCGACAATGAAAAATAGGCCTTATTTAAATACTTTCTCTAATATTTCCTTGAACGTACAATCGAGTGACTTTTCGATTCGTTGGTTCTCATCTCTCGAGGCCTTTAGACTTTACGTAATTATTACTCATCTATTTCATTTAAAACCCACTTAACATAAAATAAAATAGAGGAAATAATTTGGTAAACACGGCGAGCGGAGCACGCGGCCAATGTACTTTGAACCTAAGTACAATGTACTTTAAGCTTAGTAATTTTATCTACTTCAGTATCTACTTTGAACCTTTCCAACTTAATATTGAGGAAGGAAAACAGTCTATTTTCGGCTGACAAAGTATTAAAATGTAAGAAAACAATTTGTGATAGCTCTTAGCTTCTATTACGGACTTCTTAAACTGACACCTTGTTTCTGAAAACTTAAATGATCTTACAATACTGCCTTTGTTTCTTTTTACCACAGCGAATTTAATATTTGGCAGAAAGTAACAATTTAATTTGCAATGAAACTGTTCTGTGGAAAGCATTGGGGGAGGCCTTTGTCAAGCAGTGGACGTGATTTTCACAATTTTTTTTAAAAGAATATTAGTAATCTGTTATTACACAAATTACTAATATTCCCGTTAGCCCCTCGTACAAAGCTAAATATGCTTGTATCACGAGTGAGCTCACCACAAAAGTCGAGCGGCGGCGGGGACCGAACCCGCGTTCCCCGGATCACGAGTCGGCCAGTCCGATCCCTTCACCGTTCAGCTATCGTGGCTTCAAAAATAATGATAGATAAATGAATAATTTTAAACCTGAAATTCGATTCAAGTGTCTCTAGACCTCCTTCGTAGTTGGCAGACGTTAAGTGGTTTAACCTTAGAAGATAATATTTAACACGTGTCAGAATTTCTAATTAAATTGGGGGTAATTAAATTATGTCTGTTTTCCGACCTCTTAGAGGTATGCTGTTACTTTGTAAGTTGTAACGTTTAATGCTGGCTTTTGTCCTATCCATTAATACGTCTACACGTTATTTGTTAAACATTTATCTTCTGTTGTTGTGTTGCGAGTCTATTTAATTATGAACTAGAAACATTATGTGCCTTATTAAGAAAAAGTTGAACGCGCAATGAACTCTGGTTTAAAATATAATTTTCATGCTAAATGTCAATTCAAACTAGTGATCAACGCGAGTTTCATCATCATCATCATCTCAGCCGACGTCCACTGCTGAACATTATCATAGGCCTCCCCTAATGCTTTCCATGTTGCCCGGTTTGTAGCGGCCTGCGTCCAGCGCTTTTCTGCTACCTTTATGATGTCGTCGGTCCACCTTGTGGGTCGACGTCACACGCTGCGTTTTTCGGTACGCGGCCTCCACTCCAGAACCTTGCTGCCCCATCGGCCGTCAGTTCTGCGTACTATGTGCCCTGCCCATTGCCACTTCAGCTTGCTAATCCGTCGGGCTGTGTCAGCGACTTTAGTTCGTTTACGGATCTCCTCATTTCTGATTCAATTTCGTAAAGAAACACCGAGCGTAGCCCTCGCAAGTTTAATTTTTTTGTAATAAGCTGTGCTGTTATAAAGTTTTTTTCTTATCTAATAATAATAGAAGTTAATTGAGTATTATGTCTCAATTCTTTATAAAAGAAAATTCTTATAAATAAAAATTTGATAGAGGTCTAGATGGTTCCCAGAAGGTTAGCCACATTGCCGCTTAAAAAATATTATTTTTGGACTGCTGCGTCACTACCTAAGACTTAGGTTTCTTTGTATTCTTTTATGTTTCAATAGCTTTCCGTCCGCGGCTTCGCGCGTGTGTATAATATGTAGCCTATGTTACTCGTGGATAATGTAGCTTTCGAATGATGAAAGAATTTTTAAAAACGGTCCAGTTGTTTTTGAGCCTATTCATTACAACCACACATACAAACAAAGTTTTCCTCTTTATAATATTAGTGTAGATTATCCCGTTCCATGAAATCATAATCGAAATTATTTGCGAGTTATTAACAACGCTTGTCATAATAATTACCTACTTACTACTGAGAAATACTTTATGCTAATTATTTTTGGGAATCTACTGATTACTAACTGATACCGATGAGCCGATGAATTAATGTGTATTAATTATCAAGCAGTCTATAATTTATTAATAAAAGTATATCTTCTGAATCTCAATGACTTCGTGGGCGTCCTAATTTTAAGTAAATGTACTTAATTCGCTACCAGCGTCGTGGCTTTCCTCACCGGGGCCACGGCATATACTGAGTGGGGTCCCATTGCGATGGGCATCGCTGTGCGACAGGGTGGCACTGCTCAGTTTAATTTGTCTTCCATTGTATGTTTTATGTGTCACCTCTGTTTTATTTGATTTTTTTTTATTTACCTCTTTTGTCTTTTGTGATGTCCATGGCAATAAATGTTTCTTTCTTCTTTCTTTCTTTCTTTCTTTACTACGAAGTAAACGCATTTTTATTTCCAGGTTTACTATCTAAGCTGCCCATCTTCGAATCCCTGAAGGAGACCGAAAAATACGACGACGAAATTAACTGGGAATTGCCCTAATCGAGTTTTCTACAATTGGCCCTTTATTTCCAACTGGAATTTAACACAATTTCGACGAAATAAAGGCAAACCTTTGGGTGTCTGTATCCCCGGGGAAAATTATACAGATATTATGTAATGCAAAATTGTTTTGTAACTTATCCTGAACCTTGGGGTCGGGACCAACGTCATAATTATGAATCTTGTAAAGGTAATATTAAGGTTGCATTTCGTGAATGATTTTTTATAGGGTGATTCTGCTGCTTGAAAAAAGTGAGCTCAAGTCTCTGATTAAGCATTCTACAAAATATAGAGTCACTATTATAGTTTAAGCAAGACTCTTACTATAAAATCATAACTACTAACGCTACTTTTTCTTCCTCCATTTTAGCCAAGCATTTTTGCAAAAATCAATTACTAAAAAATGCCTGTCTAATATTTTGTTCTTTTGTAAGTAATCAATAAAAATTTAGTTCACGAGATCAGTATTATGTAATTTATAAATAGCAATTATTATAATTTACTCGTAAGTTTCCAGTCGAATGTTTTAATATAACTTTTTATTAGTTTTAGCTCTCTACCAAAGATATTAACAATTTAATTCTTCAGCTGATACAAGTTGCATTTACTTTGAATAATTTCAAATCATAGGCGTCTATTTTACAATACTGTAACTTCAGTTTGCAAGAGCAAGAGAGATAGTGACAAATGTTATCAAAGCCTGAGACAGGAGAGTCGTTTGTCAAAATGGTTTTAGCTAAGTGGGCCCTATGTAAACCATTTAATCAAACAATACATAAATAGTACATTCAGTAAATGCAAATATAATCAATTGTTACTGGAGAGTAACGGTTGAATTATTTGGTATTAAAATAATTACTGTTTCATTTCAATTTTGTTGTTTTGTTTCTATCATTAATTTTACGTTACAAAGAATTTATGTTGATTTAGTTGCATGTATAAAAGTATAATGTATTTTTATAATAATGGTAATAAAATCATTTTTAAATTGTTAATTGTAAATGTTACAAGATATTATTATACTAACAAAATAAACAATAATTTACCTGAAAAGCGTTTCAAATTAAAATCCTTTTTGAGCCTAATTAATTACTTCTGGTCGTCGGTTCATCTCGTGGGAAGGCGCTGGCGCTGGAAACAATACATTACAGTATGAATCTTGAAGATTGCTTGTACGACTCTTATCTAGTACTTATTATCTATTATCTTAATCTTATCTTAGTCTTAGTAATATTATAAAAAATGCGAAAGTTTGTATGGATGTCAGGACGTCTGGATGATTTTGACTGAACGGATTTTGATCAAACTTTACAGTATTATTTTTTATAACCCAGAATAACAGGCTATAATTTATGACGATTTGTGACAAACTAAATTTCACGCGGGTGAAGCCGCGGGCAAAAGCGAGTGGGAGAGCTGCCGTAAGTAGTAGATATTCCATAGAAACAAAGTATTTAGTTGCTCTCGTAATTTTTTCTGCCTCTTATATCCGTCTATCAAGCTTCCAGGAAGAATGTCAACAAAGCGGCCATAATAGAATTACGTCATAAAATCTCATTAAGCATCTGTACAACTGAAATAAACTTCCTCGGAGGCGTTAATCTTGCGAGAACTGTCCAAAAGGAAAAGTTGAAATTTCATATTTACGGTTGTAGTCGTTAAATCGTTTTTATTATGAGAATAGCCGCCTCATTTCCTGAACAAGACAATAAAGTCTTTGTGGAATCGAAATGAGTGTTGTGGAGGTGTTCCATATCGATAAAGTTTTGTCGACGGAAAAATGATAGAGCACGCTGTTTTAAATTCCTAATGAAGTTAAGTTACGTTTTTGTTTGACATTACGAGTATGTGACGTAGGCATGCAAATGTGAAAAATGTACCTACTTATTTGGTAGGGTAGATTACACAGAAGCCAGGGATAAGCAGCCTTCACCAAGTACGAAATCAAAATTATTTATTCAGTTTAGACTACAAATGGCACTTATGAACGTCAAAATATAGTAAATAATAAAAAAAGAAAAGGTAGCCCTTATATACGAGTAGTAGAAAGCGACATAGCGTATGTTGGGCCTATGTTGGGTACATACTACATAGGCATTTGATTCTATGGTGATCTAATAGTAACTTTCGTATCGTATATTAAGTAGAGCACAAGCTAACATCAAAGCACCAAGTGAGCATCAGATTTTATTCGCAATTCAATTATTATTTTGAATAAAATTTGAGTTGGTAACATCGATACTAATTTACTTTAAATTGATCATTTAACATCACTGGTTGCAATCAGAAAATTAAAGGGAAGCACTGGGATACTAAGATTGTTGTATCGATTGTTAGCCAAGAAAGCTATTGTCTAATGATATTTTGGTACCTTTCTCAACAAAAGCAAGGATCCTTCATAAGTTTCTTGACAAAGAAGTAAGAAGAAAGAGGGAATTTCGCTGGGAACTTGGACTACGGTGAGGTAAGGATTCTTCAAATGCGATCGTTTAGAAGCTTTCACCTAATTTCTTATTACACGACCTAATGAAACAAATAAACAGAAAATCAGCGTATTCAAATTGAAACTTGAAACAGTCTAGCCACGACTCTGTTTTTGAATTTTGAGCTAAGTAATTTCGTCTAGAATCTTTGTACTAATTAATTGAAGAAGATTATATTATTATGAAAATTCAGCTGTGGAGATAGCAATACCTTTCTAAAATTATTTAGTGGATCGAGAAATGTGTGTAATATTAAAGCAAGTAGTATAGTCTACCTTTCAGCATTTTCGAAGAATAGACGCGGAATAGACGAGCTATAGATCTAGGTCGCTTCTGAATTATAAATAACGATTTCTGCGGAATTTGGTATTGATTAAGTCGAAACTATCGAAGATTATATCATCCGTAAGTACTCAGATGATAATAACAATTCCATTTAATGATAATATTCTTGGAAAAACTGCAACATCCAGCCAAAACTATAAAAAAACAGTATTATGTACAAACCTTAAAATAAAATTAGTGCATTTTTAAAATGATATACTTATACCAGACAAGGCGGTAATTTTAATATGATTACAGTACACTTCCTTTCAAAAGAAGGAAGCATAAGGAAACGTCCACCCTGAAGAGTCAACAAAGTGAGTATAGTCCTTTTATTCATTAGTTCGTTGTTCGAATAAAGCGGGTTCCGCATTCGGATTCGTACGGAATATTACGCTTCAATTTTTGCTTCAGCCAACACCTGTGGCCTCGATACCAGATGTACTTACCGTATAGCTCCTAAAACAGGGGAATAAAATTCAAAATTGAATACCGAATACGGCACATTTCTCACTAGCTGTCACGGGCATTGAAATAATGGAATTCAGGGAATATTATATAGGTGAGATTGTTTGTGCGTTGTAAATAACTGGGGAGTTTTGCCTACAGTAGTTTAGTAGTAAATTTCAGACAAATTTGGACTCTAACTTGTTAATTGAGGCGCTAGGTAATACTTGCCAGTGTGCAGTAAAATACGGAGACGAGTTTCAACAGTTTAGTTTTGGAGCATCCAAATTGTAATTGGAACAAAGTAAATAAATTACGAGTAAATTAATGAAAAAAAAAAAGAATAAAATCTCTATAAGCTTCGGGGGTTGATAACGACGATAATGTGTGCTAGAATCATTAAGAAGGTTACTTATAACAGTCAAAGTAAAATACCAATATTTACAGTCTGATGCTGGGGTCTAAGAAAAGTAGGTGTAGCTGTTACAACCCATAAGATTCAAAATTAATCTATGGTAATAATGGTTTCGGGAAGCACCTGGATGAGGGCAGCGCAGGACCGGTCCCTATAGAAATCCATGGGGGAGGCCTTTGTCCAGCAGTGGACGATCTAAATGAGCTGTAACTTACTAATAAAAAAGAACTTTTTATCGAATATTTCTACAAGTGTAAGATTTTTTATGTGCATGTTCTGAAAAAGTTTAATTTCAATATAATTATATCATCGTATACAATGTTGATGTTTCTACGAATCAATTGTACTAACTGATACGGATTTTTGCGAATCGAATCGAAATAATATTACTGTATCATTGTCGTGTTCTCCGAATTGAAATTTCCTGTAAATAAATGTAAATATAATGTAACATGGTGCTATAAATAGCAATCAGATTGTGTTGGTTTTCGAAGTAGACTTTTTGATGCGTGAATTGAACATAGTTTGGATATTTTTCATTCAGAGGACTTAAAGGACAACATTTTAGGTTATTCTGGCTTAAAACGTTTTACTCAGGGCCCTATTATGGCGAGTGAAACAAATAGAGGAAGATATCGAAAATCTTTATAGAAATAGAAACTCTATCGAGTCATTTTATTATGTTATCTACTGGAATTAAAGGCATCGAGATTGCAATGGGTACGAGTTATAAAGCGTTCCATGTTGTAATAAAAACAGAGCAGAGCTAATTTAAAGGAAATAAAAAGTATTGAAATCTCACATCAAATCCTATTATGGACTTAAAATTCTTACTAGTAAGTAACGCTTCTTTATTGCATTCTCGTTTTATGTTAAAGTTTTTTTTTTAATTTTTGTGCTGCTTTTCCAATATTTTCTTTTTATTTATGACGTAACCACCAATTTTCCTTAACCCCCCAATTCCTGTCTTCAAAATTGTAATATTTTCTAATATTTATCGTCAACTATGAAAAAATATTAAATCTGAATAAAGGAAAATTTCTACGCAACGGAACGGAGGCGAAAGCAAATTGGAGGTTTATGAATTCTATGCAAATTGATATCCCTGAAGTCTAAGCTACTGGACGGTTTAATGACGAAGGTGACGGTGGCTTTATCACGAAATTTTTTGCCGTTTTTCCTTTGAAAGCTTTAGAACGGTTTTGGTGAAAACTAATAATGAGTTTTTAGTCATTAGTAACTCTAATCTCCAATCGACTTTGAATAAGTTAGTTGTATCTAACTTCGAATACATATTTTGTGTTTGGTCTTCGATCAAATAAAAAAATAATAAAAACTTACGAAATTGAGATAATGTGTTCCGTGATTACCAGTAAAATGGGTAATGGGCATGAACAATATTGCAAAAAGAAAGTAATGATTAATGATTATAGAGATTTTAAATAGTTATATCATTTAAAAAACAATACGGAGTGTAATCTAAGCTTCCTATGATTAATTTTGTCAAACCTCTACCAAGAGACGAGCTCTGATTTAATCTTCTAAATACACGTCCACGTGTGTCGTAATGCGTCATAATTGCAAATCGTATTAATTTCAGCCCATTTGCGCTAAAGGACCCAACAGACATGCTTCTTTGACATCAAAGATATGACAATTTATTATCAATAGATGCAGCAACTGACATTCCATATCGCTTACATAAGAGAACTCTTCAATAAACTACCTTTATGCAATTGAGCGCATTTTTACTAACCCAATTAAGCGCAAAATTGGTACCTATTTAAAGTACCTATAAACTCGTAACTTGCTCTACTGCCATTTCGGTACAGCGAATAAATGATCTCAATAAACCAGCCAAGAGATGGTAATGAGAAGTGGCAACGAACTTAGTAATCCTTGGTTCACAGGAAACGAGTTTATATTTAGGCCTGTGATTAGCTGAAACGAAGCACACTAATCAATCCGGAAACGGATCGTAACCGTATCAACTCGAAGCGGTCAGCATTCTTTGTATGAAACTTCGTACTGCAAAGCACGCACACTATCCGCACCGTAACGCCTAAACGCCTCGCCTCGCGGTTGACAGCGCGGCGAAAGGCAATACGATGTTGATCCTTTACCGGGTTGATAACCTTAATTTCGAACTCCTCCTCTGTTCTTCTGATTAATTTCGTTGCGGGTCCAATGACAGTTTGACTTTCCCCCGGGACAAACTTGACCTTCATTGGTTGGGTTTTTGTGGTGGTCAAGCTGTAGATCCTGGCTACACAGGAGTTGCAGTTGTGGGAACGAGAGGTGGGAATAGTCCCGATACCGGGTTGATAAGTATGACCTTTAATTTGAATTCGCCGAGTTGAGTCTAAACTTGAGCAAGTCTGCCACAATCCTAATACGAATTGCCGCAGCAAATAAATCGGATGCCAAACAGTCCGCAGGTGTTCTGATGGCACCCTCAGGGA